TTAGGATATAAAATTCAGTTTTAATGTGGATTATACAAAATTTGTTGAAAGGTGCTTGCGGGTCTTGTATTGGAACTTTTGGCGTCAAGAATTACTTTTAGTGTCTACATTCGGTAATTGATCAAAGAAAAAATGAAATAATCGCCAAGCTAATACATTTTAATAGCGATAATAACAGCATAGTTTATTCTTTTATATATTATTAGTAGTGGTAGTAGTAATTATTTAATAATATATAATATGTTTGATGCATTGCAATCGTTTGGATTAATAGTACAGGCGCTATTAATTTAAATGTGTAAGAGGACCTATTCTACCTCGCTACCTACTTATATAATCAAGTAGAAACTACGGTAGCGTTTTCTCAGATGAAATTTATCGCGAATCGAACATCATATATATATATCTTGGATGCATTTAGGTTAAACCATCTCATGAGACCAGAACACTGGGACGAAAAGTCACATTAATCTCACTAAAGAGTGTTTTGTTGATTTTTTTTAAATGCATTTTTTAATTTTGATGAAATTCTCGTTACTCAAATTCACTGAGCGCTCGAATACTGAGTTTATTTTATATATTCTTGAACCATGACGGTTTGGTTGGTTTTATGTGCCATCTGCAGTGGTGTAATTTCAGTTATTACAGAAGTAGGAAAATAAAACAATAAAATAGCTTATTTGATGGCTTATAAAGTTATTCATTAACTGACTGGTTCTGTTCATTTTTTTTCTGTAAAATTAACACGTTAAGTTTTTCATAGTTATTATCCCCTGTCATTGATAACCTAGTGGTTTACGACAGTCAGTCAACCGACGATCGGTTTTAATTGGTTGGTGTGAAAACCAGTGATAAGTCTCATAATTAATGCCGTTTAAACTTACACACATTAATATTATGTCACATCTTCTTCAAATTAAAAAAATAAAATATTATATCGTCGATTCAAAATAATAGCTATGAACATTTTAATAGTTAGAAAAATAATTTTTCTGATAACGGCTCATATTTTAGTCATTGTTAGTTTTTATGTTTTTGTGAGGCTAGATTATTAAGTACCTACTATTTATGAAAATACTATAAATCGGCTACAAAGATATGTTAAATAGTAAATCGTAGGGAAGCTATAATAAGTTTGATTTGCTGATTAACATTAATATTTTGTACAACCATTTAGCTATAGCATTATATTATATAGATTAAAGTTGATAGGTATACATAACATAATATACATGCATAATACAAATATGTAAGTCATACAATTGTACTTTTAATAATAATTTTTTATTCGTGAAGTCTAATTTAAACTACGGGTTTCTTCTTAAAATAAGAAAAAATATCGTTAGTTACTTTATTTTTAATAATAATTTAAAATGGTATATTTAATTATCATTGACACTAATTTAATAATATTATTATAATATTTTAAAGCTTTCACCAATTAACTATATTATACTAACTTAAATTAAATGAAGGGTATCACCGCTATTTATTCACCGAATAGCGTTGAACATTTATAAAAATCAATTGAGTATAAACTTATTGTTGAAAAGAGAAACGATGTACTTACTCATATTTTATTTTTTGACATGCCTAATTATAATAATATAATAATAATTTTACTACAATCGTACATGTAAGGCGCGTCAACTTATCACACGACCTTTCAAAATCAAACGTTCTAATGTTATTGTTTATTACCATATTATGTGTGACATAAATTGCTGTTTTTATACAAATTCATTAAATTTTGAGTGATTGTCTATGCAGCCTTATAAATCTCATAATTTAATGAATATAGACTATATTTTTATTTGATGTATTTATTTCATACACACACACACACACACATATATATATGTTTTATTTGGATGAGTGACCGTTTAAATGTATTTTTAACGGTGTAAAAAATTGATTTTTTTTTTAAACAACTGTACCAATATTTATGTTCATTTTTTAATTCAACATCTAATTAAACACATTTTTTTTTTAAAGGTCGCTGTAAATTGCATTCCATTTTTAATTTTTTGTGTAAATTGCGGCCCAATGTATATTTTATACATACGTAAATTGCGGGTAGTGTATATTTGTATATATGTGAACTGCGGTCGAGATATAATTTGTATAAAATCAATTTACTTATTAAATTAAATATTTTCCTTCCAATTTTTCAAATTTAGGACTAGAAATATGATTGTTTATTAGTATTAGTATGGAAAAAAAAAATGGTTTCACTGCTTTTTGTTTATAATTAAAAAATGTATTATTAATAATTAGTAATAAAGTATTGGGTAAAAATGTGTATCATTAAAAATATATTACCAAGAAAATTTTTAATTAAGAAACCGATAAAAATTTGTAAGATAATTTCCGCACATAGTCTAACCGAGAATTTTTTTGTTTGAAATTCATATACTTTTTCATGTATAAATGTTTCTTTTTCAGTTTTTTTTCTTCTTTTCGTTCCCTGACTTCTTAAGCTAATTGTCTACATCGTAGAATATTAGTTAATACTTATTACTAATCTTTGAATTATTGTACAATTGACCGGAAATCGGAATATCCTAGGCTGCAATTTACGTATGTCATAAAAATACACGGGCCGCAATTCACGTATATTTTAAAAGTACATGGGCAGCAATTTATAAATACTATGACCTGTTTTGTAGGACGCAATTTATAGACTCCGTTTATTAGAGCGGGTTACTGATTTAAAAAAAAAAAGTGTTAAATTTTCTCGATAATTAAAATTACTTAAAACAAATTTATTTTAATGATGTTCTTATCCAATATATATTGCTTTGAATAAAAATGGCATGTGTATTTTTGTAATGAGTCACCACTTTAAAAGACTACATGTTTTAAATTTCAGCATCGAGTAAATCTACTTGATCTTAAAATTTAGATCTTATTTGTGGTTAGATATTTATTATTAAATTTAAATTCCAAATGTATTTATTTTAAATGGGTCACCTCTGACTAATTTTAAAAGATAATCACAGTTTTTGAATTTATTTAAAAATAAATACACACATTTATATTTGGGTTAATACTTGGTTTACAATAACTTATTCAAATTTATAATTTGAAAATATTTTGAAAATAAATTTAGTGGTTTTACTAATTATTAATATAAAAATTAATTTTCAAAAAGTTTTCTTATCGGCAGCTATTGCATATTTTTTCAATAAAATACCATACATTTTTTGTTGGTATAAAATGTATTTTTCAAGCGATTTTCACATATACCTTTGTATTTCTTAGTTTTTTAGGAAACTGTAATATTTCATTTAAAAAAGTAAAAATAATATTTTATCTATACGTATACTTTATATGTATTAAATAAATATATATATATATGATTTATTTGAATAATTATCGTTTATCAACCTGAATTAAGTATCCATTCTCTAAAAAGTGAATTATAAGTAGGAAATCTAAACATATTAAGTCCTTTGTTATTACTATATGATTTTTCATACAACTCAAATAAGAACAACTATCAATAATTATTTATACCTATGCAATAAAAATTTTGAAATGTTTAATAAAACAGTATGTAATTTATTCTATGACAAAAAATATGATTAATGTTTAATGATATTGGTATATCAATGATCTAACGAATAATGATGATAAATTAAACAAATATATTTCTTAACACATATGGATTTTATTTTATATATTTTACATAGGTATTTTAAGGTAATTATATTGATTTATTTGACGTTGGCGATTGTGTACAATAACTATTGATAGGTAAAATTACTACACTGTTTTTACCTCTGCGACAAATGGTTCTGAGTTTCATTTATTAGTCTCCTTCCGGAAGCATAGGCCATATTATTTAATCTATTGTTTTTATACACAATATATTTATTTTATTTATAATATATTATACTCAATGCTAATTGGTACATACTCGTATAGTAATATAGACTTAATATTATTGTCATACTTATAACTTAAAATATTATACATAAGATACAGTTAAAATGGATCACAGGACAGCTGTGTAACCATAATGCCTATCTTGGATGCCGTGTTACAATACATTTTGTATTATTAAAAAAAAAAAACGTAATCATAATAAATGTTTAATCATTACTATCACTTATAAACAAAATTCTTTTTAAATATAAACTATTTTTTTTAAATATTTATTATAAAATTGATTATTATATTTATAAAAAAATATTAGGCATATTTTTTAATTTTTTTTTTTATCTAGTCAAGTCTTAAAACTGATGTCCTCACATAGAGTTATGAATTATTTATAATGTATTGTCAGTGCAACACAAAAAAAAAAATATATCATAATTTAATTTACATTAAATATGGTTTATAATGAAATTATATTATCACATTCCATAACAATGAGTTATAAAAGTAAAAGTATTATATTGTTATTTATTAAATGTAATAGGTATGCAATCTAATTTGAAAACGTTGACTTGAAAATTCAATATTTATTCACTGTTCGTTACTTATACATAGATATTTAATACATAATAAAGTAAATAATATTAATGTTAGAATATACGACGTTTGCTGGTCACAAAATTCACGATCGCAGGACGAACAGGTATATAAGGTCAGTCAATCGGGATTATCGATCTCTCCATTAAATTATATATGCATTATATATTTATATATATATACATACGTTACGAATGTCCAAGTTTGTGACATCATCGAATAACTTGAATAGCTAGGTCCAGAAAATATGTGTCGCGTGCTCGTATCGTTTTAATGTTATAATTATATAAATATATTATAATATCATGTGACTTGGCCGAGTTCATGATGTAAGTTTAGTAATATTACAACAATGAACCAGTCGTCTCGTTTTGCTTTATCACATGGGTCGGTACGCATAACGATAATCATGCACAATATACCCGAATATGGTTAAATAAAGTGAAATATAAATGTGTGTTTATACTGTAGTTGATCATTCGCTCACGTTGTAACGACGAACGTATTTTGTGTTTTTTCAGGCGAGAACCCGGCGGCCATGCAGCACGGACACGGACGGAGCCTGAACATGCTTAGCTGTCCATCCATATGGATACTCATACCGTCCTTAGTAATGTTCATCAACTTAAATACAAATTGAAAGCACAATATTATCGGTGTGCGACTGGAGTAAACGCGTGCAAAACGAGAAACGCGAAAAAAAAATATTAAAAAAAAAAAATAACAATAATAATAATTACGATGACAGATCAAGTGTGAAATAAATTAAAAATTTTAATACATTTTCAATTGCGAACACAGCTTTTGATAATTTATGAAATACTGTTGTTTGATATTTAATAATATTACGTCATTACATTCTATGCCATGGTGTTTTATAATTATTGCATTAATATGTCTGTCTTATATCTTTATAATACACCACTTAAACGATCTATGATTTGATAATAATACAATATTATTATAATAAAATAAAAACTATTATGTAATCTGTTACATATTTTATCCATGTCAGTTTTTATTATGTTTTAATTGGTGTATACGATTCGTACATAGAAAAATGTATATATTGGTGATATTTATTTGATATTTTCCATAATTTATGTAAATCCATATATTAACGATTTTGGCTTGTACGTTATAGTTTCAAAAGTATAATGATGTAGAAATGTTGAGGACATTTTTGTTGGGCATATTATTATACGCCTTAAAACTTTAAAATAAATTATAAATAAGGTCATTACAATCATGTGTTTATTGTATTGTACATTTTAAGATTAAGAACAATGTTAAGTTTATACATTTAATATTATATTATTATATATGTATACTCTAATTTAATCATTAATGTGTCTAACTCCCGAAAAATTGTTTTAATTTGTGTAAATAAAGTTTATAAAGTATTACGAATCAGTAATTTGTTCCAATGTCTATAAACAAATTATTTTACCGAATTTTTTAACAAACCACTTAATCTGGATTGGATTTTTATATAAATACTTATAAATGCGTTTTCGATATTTAACACATCTAACCACTAAAATATACCTGTAAAATATGCAAAGTCATTTTAAAGGTGAAATTTCTTGGAAATGTGTAATTAATGTTAAGTTGGTTAATTGATATTATCATGGTTGAATGAGCTACCAAAGTCCATGTTTTATTTACCATAGTTCAACGTTTGAAACATTTTACTATTCACTAAAATATTAAACTTAGTAATCCCTGATGAAATAAAACAATTCACTTTATTGAACTATTTATGAAACATTAAAGGAAAATGCAAATACATTACAAATTTTCGAGTTTTTGTGAATCCTTTTTGATATTAGTTTTTATATATAAATAAAACGAACAGGAATACATTATTTTTCTCTTTAACAATGTGTTCGAATGTTTATTCCAAAAGGAGCAAATAAGTTTTTGGTTTTATAATGTCGTAATTTTTTCTTATTTTTTTTCTTCATAGTATTCTTAGAACAATAAACTTTTTCAAATTCTTTCATGTAGAATATACAGTTCATTGAAATCATATGTAGTTATATGATTTAAAAATTTACAAATTATTAAGCAAAAATTAGTTTTATGTGTTTTAATAATCAATAAAATAAAAAAACAAGTCTAACTTTCAGCATTAACAATTATCAGTAAATTCTAAAAATAAATAAATATTAAAAATTAATCAATTCAGAGTTTAAAAACAAATATTAATAATACTTTTATGAAATATATTAGTATACAAACAATTAATTATTACCTATACAAGGTGATTATTTTTATGGTGAGCTCTCATATATTAACATTTTTGAAAATTGTTTTTAATTTCTAACTCGAAAACTTAAAAATGAATAACAAAAGTATATAATTATTATTTAAAAAATAAATTGTGTAATACTTAAAATAAAAATATTTCGTTAAACGTTAATGTTTTGTTTACAAGTTAAACTTTTATGTAATCATGGTGTACGTTCATATAAATCCATATACTGTTTATTTTAATTTTATAATAATTAAATAAGCAATTTGTGATGATTCAAATATTTCTTAAATTGTTAGCAATAGATGAATCATTAATATTATTTATTGTTTTAATAATAATACTCAATTGTAAATTATAGCACTATTCATGTATGTAGTAAAGCAACTAATATGATTCTACTGTACCTACTTACCAAATTTTTTTTATTTTTTTTTATATATTATATTTATAAAAACTGTATACATTGCCATTAAAATAAAATGTATTATTATCTGCACATGTTGTAATATTTTCAATTTATAAATATTATAATAATGATATTTAAAAAAAAAGTACCACCTAAACTAAAATTGACTTAAAAGTATTTTATTTAAATGTTTTTAAATAGAATAATACCGTTATTATATGCGTGTATAATATAAATAAATAATAATATAAAAGCACCTATCTTTCGTATAAAACAATAACATATTAACTAAACTTAGATAAAATTATTTATAATAATACGATGGCATTATGTTGTAGAAAATATATATTATTTATATATTTTTAGCATGTCAAAATATATTTCACAATTCTTTTTATATTTAATATCTAATAAAAAAATATATTTAATCAAATGTATATCCATATTTAAATAAACATGCAGTTACCTTTAAATATATGTATTATTAATGTATAGATACATAATGGATATGTCTGTTCTGTGAAACAAGTTTTTGTGAATTTTGAATTGTAAATATATAATAAAAAACTGATACTTGTAAATCCGTATTTTTATTTTTTACTTTAAATTTATCATGGAAAAGTTTAAACGGTGTTATCGCATAATTGAATAGATCGTCATCTATATTGCATAAAAATGGTTTTAAAAAAAACGAAAAGAAGAGAATTTAAAAAGAGAAGTTCTAATAAAGTGTTACATTTTCATAATTTTCATGTAGGTATATTTTAATAACTAATATGATTCGTTTAATTTTATCTATAAAATAGATAAAATATAGTGACGTATCTATGCAGAAGTTATACACGTCTGTAACTTCAATCATGCATCTATCTTGTTCAGTAGATTACAGGTAAGCAAAAACCCGATTAGCTGATGGTCTGTCATTTTATAACATTATATGGTTAGATTCGTAAAAAATCATCTGGTAAATCTCAATGTTGATTTTATTTCATTTTAAGGGTCAATAATTTTTAGTGATAGCTCAAAATCTGTTGATGATATTCTTTTAAATTTATTGATTTCTTAAGTGTCCGGTCTTAAATAATTTCTCTTATAATATCATTGGCTAGAAATTGTTAGTTGCCAACAATGTATCATATGAATTGAATCGATTTTTTTTTTTAAGAAACTAACGTTGAGAAAATAAAAGCTGCACTGTTTTAAAAAAATTATTTGAACTCAAGTACGTATACCATATATATTTTTAATGTAGTTTTTCTTTGTTATGCTATTAATTTATAAAAATTCTTAAGCAATTTGTTTATCAGTCCTAGATAAATACTACGCAGTATACATATCCCCTCTCCTTAAAAACCAAATCCAAAATATATCTGTGATTATATCCACCATCATCCGTAATATACATATGTAAAAAATAAATGTAAATGTACATTAGTCTGATTTATATTTATTTTGTATGAAGAATTATTTTCTTAAAACGTAATCTCTATTAGGTATATACCTATTAAGATACTTAAACATTATATTTACCTAAGTAACAGCCGTCAAAATTATTGTTTTGAATAAAACTGTCATAGGAACCTAACATTTATTTTAATGTGTGTAAATATATGCATACATTTAATACTTTATCAATATTCAATATAAATATTTAAAAATCAATAATTATTTGATTGTTAGATAAATAATGTACATGTTTAAACTATAAATATTAAATAAACATGTAATATAGTAAGGTATTACGTTTATATATTTTTACAAAACATTCAAATTTTAATTATTTTGATATTACAATATATTTTTTACTTTTAAAATCTGTTGATACAAGATAATTAATACAATTGTATCAGATAATCTGATGTTTGACACAATTTAGGTTAATAATATTATGTATATATGAATATATGTGTGTTTTAAAAAGTTAACAATAGTGTGGACAATTATAGAAAAAAAAAAAATTTTAGAATTAAAATTGTTGATGATTGATAACCAATGTTTTTTTTTTTTTTTTAATGGATAGTTATTTTTAAAAACATTAAATTTTAAAAGTAATGACTCCTTTAAAAATCAATGATAGTACATTGGATTATTATACTTAATACATTATTTTAAATTTTATAGATTGAAAATATAAAAAAATATTATATTCATCTACTCCAACGTAACTTGAAATGTATAAAGAATTGGATTAATAATATTAAAACTATAATGAAAAAATAAATAAGTGAATTTTATTAAATAAAAATAAAAAACATTTATTTGGTGTTTAAAAAAAATAAATAATATATACAATATGAACTATTAAACTATAATATAAACAAAAAATCAGATTATAATATAAAATAATACACATTTTGATTAAATAATACTATTATTAGTTACATTATTTGAAATGCTTCTCAAAAATTCTTATAAATGACAACACATTATTTTTTTGCAAACAATAAAATACAATAGTAAATCTATAAATAAATATTTTTAAATGTGTCCTTGAAGAAATACGTATATAGAATTATATATATATAATATATATATGTATTGATTCTTGAATATTTCAAATCAAATTTTGGTGATACGAAAAACGACATCAATTGTAAAATTTTGAATTCCTCTGAAACTTTTTAAAACGGAATATCTTATTTTTATACTAGTATCCTTATTCTTATAGCATAAAATATTATTGGCAATAAATAGGAACAATGATTTAAAACAGTATTATATATAGTTGCCCATCGATCTATGATAAGAACTGAAACTATAAAAGTTGACTCACCGCGCTGCATGTAGATATATTTTATTTATGTTTTTTTTTTTATTTTTAATATCATTGATTATTGGATTTCTAAATTGCTTAAATTGTTCTTTCATCCAACGTCACAATAATTACGAGTAGTCAAGAAGCCAACTATTTTAACTATTACATAATATGACCACTACTATACAACGAGTCCACTAGTTTTTACCAATGTAAATCGGTGGGTAATCATATTTTATACTACCATATAAATCATAAAAAAGGTATTTTGATTATGCATTAGATACAACATTAATTTCCTAAAGATTTATTTTTAGTAAGAAATACTTTAAAAATATAAAT